TTATCTCAGCCAGGAATCATTACTTCAGTGAACTAGGACACTAGAATGGGGCCTTTAGAAATTCGCCAGTGGGAGAAAGAATGTTCAGAATGGACAGAGAAGGCAGGAAGGGGGTGGGAAGACTGACCTAATGAGCACAGCAATCCCTGCCCCAGCCCTAAACTGGCTTTTCTGAATGTCCTAGGCAAGGGCTTATTGCTAATCAGATGTCAGCAAGCCAAGGAAACCCACCCCCCTCCATAATCCCCACAGAATATACAGTGGGCTATTCACTGTCCCCAGTCCTTCACCTTCAGGGTCTTCAAGGATCCCAGGGTCTTCTCCACTCTCCCCAGGGCACTAGCTCTTTACTAGAAGAGAGGCAGCCTCCTCATCCAAATCCCAAGCAGCCAGCTTGCCAGCTCCCACTGGCCCTGTCCCAAATCAGATTCCCAGGAAACAGACTCTGAAGATTTACATGCAAGAAGTTTAAAGAGTGCTCTTAGGATCAACATGTGAGGAAGTGAATGAATCAGGTTTGAGGTTGGGAGGAAAGTTAAATTGTCCAATCCCATGGACAGCTGGACCTTTGGACCTGCCATGGGGGAAGGTTCATNCAAGGAAACCCACCCCCCTCCATAATCCCCACAGAATATACAGTGGGCTATTCACTGTCCCCAGTCCTTCACCTTCAGGGTCTTCAAGGATCCCAGGGTCTTCTCCACTCTCCCCAGGGCACTAGCTCTTTACCAGAAGAGAGGCAGCCTCCTCATCCAAATCCCAAGCAGCCAGCTGGCCAGCTCCCACTGGCCCTGTCCCAAATCAGATTCCCAGGAAACAGACTCTGAAGATTTACATGCAAGAAGTTTGGAGAGTGCTCTTAGGATCAACATGTGAGGAAGTGAATGAATCAGGTTTGAGGTTGGGAGGAAAGTTAAATTGTCCAATCCCATGGACAGCTGGACCTTTGGACCTGCCATGGGGGAAGGTTCATAGCCCTGGGCAAGGCAGCTTATGCCTGCTATAAGCAGTAGAGAGCCAACACAGCAGCTGAAGGCACTAGGTTCTCAAAAGGGTGGGGCCCACCGCCTCATCTACTGCAGGTCCCTAATCCCTAGAGGGCAGGTCCTGCTTCTGTTTCTCTCTTAGCCTCACCTCACTCTGTCATCTCATCCACCACTGCAGACATGATTTTGGAGGTGGCCCCTCTCCACAATTTGGCTCCACTTTCTTGCAGTCCTGTCAGCCCCTATCACCCTGCCCCTGAGCTACAGTCCTGTTAGCCCCTATCACCATGCCCCTGAGCTAGTTTCTATCTTTGTCAGCCCATCCCAGCTATTCTCAGCATCCCTGCAGGGCACTAATTCCAGCCCAATTATGAATATTGCTATGATTCTGAGCTCCTGTGTGGCTCAGATGCTGTTGGAGTCCTTGCCTTGGACAGGCAAGAGGAGAAGAACAGCAGCTTCACCCTGATCAGAACCACACAATAGGACTAGGACAGA